CTGTCGCTGTGAATAAAAATACGCCCCGCTCCACAAAACAGTGAATGAACGAACTTCCGAAGCTGGCCGGTGCGAGTCCTGCCATCTTGAAAATATCTTGAAACAAATGGCGCGGCAAGAACTTGACAAGGTCCTGAGTATGAAGTTCTATGTCGAGGTCACAAAAAGAAACGGAGATGATAATGAACTGGAATCCCTTAAAATCAAGCAGAGTGCCACTGCACGGTATTTTAAAGAGAACAACTATCCACTGGGCATCGTGCACTCGAAGGAGTTTCACAACTCAAAAGAAATCCATCGCAGAATTGCACTAGCTGCACCTTCAAATTCCTTCTCCAAAGACAACTAGAAGTCTCAGCCTCAACTACAGAAGAAAGGAAGGCCTTTCATCATTGATTCGGTGACGAGAATTGAACTTTTATGCACGAAGTAGGCTCTTTACGTTCTGACTTCACTGCTTGTTTCTTTGTACCAGGTTATGCTTCAATGAGTTTTCGTCACATGACATCGTTTGCATACTAAATGAGACGTACCTACGTTTCCGGTTCCGCTATTTTTAACAAACCGGCTGATGGAACAATGCACCAAAATCTAAAATTTAAGGCGATTAAATTGTGCGATTTCAAAATGGATCAAATAAAGTGGCAATTGAACTTCGTGTCGTGCAATTGTGGTCTGAAATCATACTTGTGATTTCAAATTGAACTCGCGCTGCGCGCTCGTTCAATTTTGAAATCACGCGTATGATTTCAGACCAAATTGCACTCCACTCAGTTCAATTACCATTATAAACCACATTCGATTTGTTAATTTCATCACTAGGGAACGTTGAGTTTGGCACCAAAAAGGCCCGTCCCAGAATTGTAGGGGGTACAAACGCGCAACCAGGGTCTTGGCCATGGCAAGTGTTAGTGGACTTTGAGGAGCATCAAGGCCCTGTTTCGTGTGGAGGCTCCATTCTTACCCCGTACTGGATCGTTACCGCAGCTCATTGTTTCGATGGTGGAAAAGATCCTGCGGCTTTTACTGTGACTGTAGGTAATATCACATCATAACGTCATAAGAACATAAGAATATTGTTTAAATACCTAAGGGTTGTTTCACTGTAAACTGTTTAGATATTCTGTAGCGTAGTGTTGACGTCGTCTTTATGCGTAGCCCATGGAAAATGAACTATTTTTTACTATCATAAGCACAGCGAGGCGCTGATGAATCCCATTTTCCGTATTTACGACCATTCATGACCCATCTGGCATGACCCATGTTTCAAAGCATTTTGTTTAACTGTGAACAGGTGAACACGATCTTCGTATAGTGGAAGGAACCGAGCAAATAATCCCAGTCGACAAAATCATTGTACATCCTAATTATAGCCGGGAAGCGACGGCTAGGTACGACTATGACGTGGCATTGATCAAACTGAGGGACCCGATCATTTTCAACAGTAACGTAAGACCTGTACTTCTGCCCACCACGGATTTTCCTCCTGGAACTAATTGCTATGCCACTGGATGGGGCGATACAATAGAGGATGGAAATATTGCACAGGTAAATATTATTCAATACTATTCACCGCAAATACATATATTTTCACTCTACTGTATAGACAGCTAAAGACAGACTGCAAAAGTTTCATTTTTGCTGTTTGCTGTTCGACGTAACGTCATGCTTAATCTCTCTAATGTTTTAATCTTTTACGGGCAATGTTTTCACTTGCATTCACGAGTAAACTCATAAGCGTATTGGTAAGAGGTACGGTTGTAATGCCAAGCACTTCACAGCCATATAACTGATACAGTTCATATCAATATCCAGCCCTACGTAGATTTTTATTCTAATGCTAAGCGTTACTTTTTTTCGTTAGACATTTTGATAACTTATCATTAAAAGGAACAAATACGCTTAAACATAGTTTCTTTTGTCGACACCTGAAATCTCCTCCCAAGAGCTACTAATGTAATGGTTTCTAAGGAATAAGCCTTTTTATTCTTTAGCACCTTAGATATTTCACAGCAATTAGTGTGCATATTTTATATTTTTAATTTTCTGCATCTGCTTTATTATTATTATTATTATTATTATTATTATTATTATTATTATTATAGTTCAATTTTGCTTATATATTAGAGCGGTTTCCCCTTGAGTATCGAATCGCGAAAAGTAATAGGTTAATTGCGTCAACCGCACTGCGCGATTGGCTTAAAAAGCTCACGCCACTTTTTCATCCAATCAGAAGTGCAATCAAAAGCAATCGTGACTTACTCACACACTTTTTACCGCGCTTTGCATCAGTTACAGGTATTTACTTGGAATGTCTTTGTTCTTTGTGGTTGGTCAGAGTGATTTCTTTGGTTTTGGTTTTACGACACTCAGTTGAAAAGTGCTCTGTATAGCGCAATTACCTGTGTTTCATGCGGGACTATAGACTCTTTTACGGATTATTCGTGTAGTTATAACTTTATTTCATGTTCACCATTAGATTTTGATAAACTAAATTAAAATTAAAAAAATTAATTACATGCCTCAAGGAACTCTTTTCATTCTCGTCAGCTGGCCATACAAATGATACAAATAATTGCTCTAGGGTTCATCATATTTTCTCTCAAACTAGTGGCGCAGTATTTTAATCTTTTGTTTACTTGTTACTTTGACAGAAAATAGTTTTTGTGCCAGTTGTCCGTCCTGAGCTTGCACTTTTACCTGAGGTTAACAGAAGTGAAATTAAAAACAATATCATTTCTTTTAGATTTTGCAGCAAGCCCAAGTTCCTCTTATATCACGTGAAACTTGTCAGCGATCATACGGCGATCCCAAACACCGCATTACGGAACGCATGCGCTGTGCAGGTTTCTCTCAGGGAGGAGTTGATTCATGCCAAAGAGACAGTGGAGGACCGCTGGTCTGTCCGAGCAATAACAAGTGGTATCTCGTGGGTATCATCAGCTGGGGAGTTGGTTGTGCGCGCCCGAATAGATTCGGAGTGTATTCTGACGTGTTTGTACTTAAGACCTGGGTGCAGGATACAATTAACAATTCTACAACTCTGTGATTGTCTGGGGTAGAAGAGAGAGTGAAGTTGTCTGTTGAGGACTAGCTCACGTTTCACGGAAAATACACGTGTTTTTACTTAAGCCCTGGGTGCAGGGTACAATCACCAGCATCACAGCTTCATGATTGGTGAAGGTAGAAAAGAGACTGAAGTTTGCGGTTGAGGACTGCTCAGTTTTCATGGAAAATGTAAGAATCACGGCAAACTAATAAAACGAATCTCACTTAACGGTTAATTTTTCGGGTAAACCACGGTTCACGTCTTTTTTGATAGCGGGTCACGTTTCACGAATTCGAATAAAATAGAGTCATGTTATTTTCGACGATAAAATAAATCCTAGTTATCGTCTTCTAAGAATGCTTTAGCAATAAAAGAGGGAATGTAAACCATTGTGAATTGTAATCAGATTTATACTTGTAGTCAACTCGCTCCACTTCCTTCGTCTAAATTTCAAGCTTCTTCAAGTTTCTCTCTACTCTCCAAATTTTAGCGGAGCTTCGGCGGCCCAGAGGGCCGAGAGAGCCGCTAAGCAGAAAATTACCATGCTCATAGCGGAGCTCCGGCGGCCCGAAGGACCACCAAGCGAAGCCACATACTCATAAAAACCCGTGAATCGCTTTTCTCATGGTAAAAATGGCTAGCGGTGTTGCTCATGGGCGCGTACGCGCCTCGACGCGTCGACAACGACTTCGCGCAACATGGCGGCCATACTGCAGTTAATCATAACATTTACAATTTCCGCAAATATGATTGGTGTATAAACCGCTGTATTTTGCTCTTATTAATCTGCAAAGTCGTAATCGGACAGTGTAATCGGACAGTTGGCTGTAAATTGGACACCTGTAATTGGACAGTTACTTGAGCCAATCATTTTAGGTCCTCTCCTCTAAATCCACCAATCACAACATTGATTACAATCACTATGGTAACCAATTCAAGATACTGACTTTGTAAAACTTTGGAGGTTTAGTCTCCGGTGACTGTTTTGAAAGAAACTTAACAGCCATTTTGCAAGCTATTCTCCACATTTTTAAGTATCATATTTAGAAATGACTATTAAAAGCTCTTTTTCGAATGAAACTTTTACTTTTGTGGGAAATTGTAACGGTTGTGATTAATTGGTAACATGTACAGGCCATCGTGTCGTCCAATGGGCCCTTTGCAGCTAAGCCATCACGTGACCTACTTTT